GTCTAAGATTGTTTTAGGAACATGGTTTTATATCCATTCACATGGGAAAATATCAAGATGATTAAAGAAAAGCTCCAAAGTCTACACAAGATTAATTTGGCGTTGGTGAAAACCTGGATTGAAACCGTTTCTAGGGGAAAGTAGTTGTACTGCTAAAATGCTACTTTAATTAGCAACAATTTAGTTAGATTACTCCAATAAATAGATAAAAAATTATTTGGGGGCATCTTCTATTTCTTTCTTCTTCTGTGTTTCTTTTTGCCTTCCTAATTGCCTGGCAAATCCTTTCTTCCAGAGATCCTGGAAGTCAGGCTTCTGTGGGGCTCTGCTTCACTTACAAGTAAAACATCACAGAACAGAACAGAGGAAAGCGCCTGTGGGGGAAGAGACAGGATGGGAGCCCAGCTTTTAAAAAAGCAGAGGTAAGAGATGTGCTTGTTAAGAACACAGGCAAGCACCCTTCTGATGTGTCTGGTGATTTCCATGTAGAGTGTGGATTTTAAAAATTTTTGGATAATTAAGTGAAGGAATGCATTTTGTTGATCTCTCAAATGTTATAGTATTCTGTTGGCAAAAATAATGCACTTTTCATATGTTGCTTCTTGGAGTGTAAATCCATGGCTTTTCTGGGGAATCATCTGGACAGGCTTTTTAAGGCTCTCAGCTGCATAAGCCTGTTACCCATCAATGCCTTTTAATGGGATTCTATTCAAAGGATAGAAACAAAAATAAAGACATGTGCATTGTTATTATTAATTGAAAAGCACCCTGAAAACTATATGTTCATCAATGTGTCCATGGATGGAGTTAGTATGCAGATATGAAGATGACTCCCCTTCACCCAAAAATACATCAGGGACACCATACCCCTGTTAACTGAAAACAGTTGAATACAAAATATTACAATGCGTAGCTATCAACATAGGCGACAGCTTCTCACATAAAAGGGCTGATCCAGTCATTCTGTGCTGAAAACTTGTAATAGTGCACCATTTCAGGCCAGCAAAGTTGTAAGCCCTTGAGAAGCACAGTGTAGAGCTCATCTGCCTGGACTCCCTGTTGTCTCTGACACTCAGTCCCCTCTGCATTCCGCCTCCCTCTCTCTTCACTCTGGCCACCCTTTGCTTTTGCTTTCCTAGAACAGACCAGGCATGGCTATGGTTTGGAGCTTCATAAGGTGTTGTCCCAGCTGGAACCTGCTTTGCTGGAGATCTGCAGGTCTCTCAAATGCCACCTCTTCAGTGACACTTCTTCCCCTGACTACAGTTTCTGCAATTGCCCTCTAGACCTCCCTGTCTCTGGATTCCTAACATCTCCTACCCTGCTCTATTTTCTCAGTATCCCTATGATGTTCTAACATTTCAAAGAATGTATTAACTTCCTGCATCTATTATTTATTACCTTCCTCTCCCCCCCTGCCCTCACTGCTTACAGGTTATAAACTCCATGAATGTAGCTATCTATGCTGGGTTTAATGATATATTCCCATTCCAAGAATATGGCATAATAGGAGCTCAGCATAGTAGGAGTATATATAGTAAGAGCTCAGTAAACATTTCTTGAGTCAATGAGTTAATTAAAGCATTGGTCATACAAAGTTTCATACTCACGAAAACATGAAAATATTAACACTGGTCACCTTAGGGTGATGGGGTTATTTGTGATATTTTCTTTCTTGTTCCTTTTTGCAGTTCCTGTGCATTTTGTATATATTATTTTTGTGGCCAGATAATATTTTCTATTTTTAAATGGGTGATAGAAAGACCTTTGGAAATTTGGTGGTTATGAACAAATTAAGAAATGCAAAATTCTATCGTGTTTACAGCTCTAAGGAATTTCTCTGGTTAGTAAATAACTTTTTCCTTTCAAATCACATGAAGTTGGTAACCCTCACATATATGGGATTGCTTTAGCGAGGACTTCTCACGGGTCCTACGGAGGTGACAGACATTTCAGCCAGCACAGTCAAAGTGGACCAATGTGACTGGATAAGCCAGCAGATGTTACCTTAAACTGGAAGCACCCTTCATAACACAAGCTTCGCCTGTCTGAGAAAAACATTTGCAGTTGCCTGTGAGCTATGCCTTGCCTCCTTTATGTTTCTGGGGTGTGACTTTTGAAGGATTTTGTAACTCTGTAGATAATTGATGAAATGAATTCACCTGGGACTACCCTGTGCAGTACCTCACCAGCTCTGGGTAATGAGACTTAGATCAGGAGCCGAGGCTCTTGGAGGCTGCCAGCCAAACTTTCTGGCACAGTATTAAAGGATATTATCATTCCATGAATACATGTCCCCTGAGAAGGAGCACCTCCTGATGCGTAAGAATGGCCAAAACGAATGGCTTCATTTTTCCTTAACAATTTTAATGGACTCAAGAATTTTATTGAGCTCTTTATTGGGTACATTAGAGTATTTTTTAAAAAATATCCAAGCCAGGAGGATGATTTTGAAGAAATACTAAAACAATCTCAGCATGTTGGAATGGGTGGGCCTGAAGAACAGTCCTTAGGTAAGGTTTGGGGGATAACCTTGGCCAGGTAATTCCTGCTAGCAGGCATTTTGGCATATATATTAAGATTTAATGATCAACTCTGCAAAATGAACTTGGAGTTGTTATTATTACAGTTGTAGATTATTTCCACATGGTGCAAGTAACTCAGTTCCTTATTTAAATGAAAATCAATGCATTTTCATTTTATGACTTTAAAAAGTGCAGCTTGTTAAATGTCAAACATTATAAATAAAAATCGAATAAGCTTAAAATAGAGATAGTTTTATATCAAAAGCACAGCAATGAGAATATAAGAGGACTCACAAACTGAGAGCCATATCGGCCTGCACAGTATTAAAATATTTTAATTTAGCTGCCAACACTTGGAAAGTGGAAGAATGTATCCCCCGCAAAAGACCACGTTTCTGTCTTCTCTGGAACAAACAGTAAATCAGGCTGCACTGGGCAGTAATTAGTGAACTTGGGACCTCTCTAAAGCATGCCTTCAGAGTCTGCTGCCCTCGTTTTCATTGTAAGTATTGGCCTGGAAAATATTTGATTATGTGACCCCAGATAAAACATCTGGGACATATATTTAATCTCAGATTTTCCTTCCTGGATTTTCTTGTTTTTGCCTTTTTTTTTTGGGGGGGGGGAGGGGGCTTTATTTTTTTAGAGCAGTTTTAGGTTCACAGGAAATTTAAGATGAATGTACAGAAAGGTCCCCTGTTGGCCATGCCTCAGCCCCCACACGGCCTCCCTGTCGCCAACATTTCCCCAGGGAGAGCTGCACTTATTTGCTTTGGTAAACTACACACTGAAGATGGTAATCACCCAATATCCTCAGTCTGCACCAAGGTTCACTTTTGTGCTGTATGTTCTATGGGATTAGAGAAATAAATAATGAATGACATGTATATATTATTATAGTATCTACAGGGTATTCTCATTACTCTAGAAATCCTCTATGCTCTGCTTATTTGACCCTCCTCAAATCACCCTCAAATTTTTAGAATTGTATTAACTATTCCATGAGTTAGTTTTGTTCTCAGAATATTTTTAAACTTATATTGCATTTTGAAAGAAAGCACACAATGTCTGCCAACTGGTCAGTTCTCCATAAATGTGGTTGGGACAATAATGACCTCACTTTAAACAATCTTGTGACTTTTCTTTAAGTAAGCCATGTAAAAATAAAGATCATCTTTTAATTTCGATTTCCCACTTTAGGATGTGAGGGTCTCTAGTTCTGAGATACAAGTTTTAGGGAACCTATCAGAGATATCAGGTAGATGGAAACAATATATGCCAGAAATGGAATCTTCCTGCTTTTAAAAATCATTATAAAGTTTGTGTAAATTATAATTGCAATATTTGAAATCAGTAGAATGAAGGAAGCTATGATGTATAACAACACCTATACATTAAACCCAGGAGAAGATTATCAGTTGACTTAAATATGTCAAATTTCAACCCTTCTTCTCCCATGTGGTATAGTGAAAATACCACTGTGTACTAGAAATAAAAGACTTGAATTGGGGTCCCAACTCTGTCATTTTCATCAGTTTGGCCTTAGGAAAGTTACTTAATCTTTCTGAGATCTGGTTTCCTCATCTGTTACATAAGTACAATTAGTAGATAATATCTACTTCACAAGATTCCTTGTTGCCGAATCTCAGTAAATAGTAATAAACACAGTTAATCGAGCACCTGCTTTCTTCCAGTCATTGTGACAGGATCTTACATTGGTTGCTTCAAATTCTCCCAGCATCATGGCGGGGCAGGTGCCCTTAGCTTATTATAGGCATAAGAAGACTGAAGGCTTGGCACCCTCTCAAAGTAACAGTTTATCAAGACGCTTCTTTGGAGTCTAAACGGAGACGGGCCTGCCCCCTGCCTGTGCTCTTTCCCAGATGCTCTGCTGACTTCATGCTTTTGTTACATGCTGTGAACTGTTTTTCCTGTGGGCCCTTCCACAGGATTTGGACACTCAGGTCTATAGAGAACAATGCAGGCCAGAGTGAGGGTTGGCATAAGATCCCTCCATGGCTGCACCTGGTTTATGTCTACTCCTGTTGAGAGAAGAGGGCTATTTTGGGGTCATGGTGTGTGTGGGGGTATTACCAAACATCATCAGGCCTGGGGTTACATAAAAATGAAATAGAAAATTATATTTCTTTTATGATTTGAGACATGAGGAAAGCTCTGTCTGAGTATAAATTTCTGCCACCTGTCCACCTTGATGCTTAAAACTGTATTTTTGTCTTGCAGTCATTCGAGATAGGGAGGGTAGCAGGGTCCTGAAGGGATGGGCACAGAAGGGGTGAAATGTTCCAGTGAAGAAGAGGTCAGGTGCAAAAGTACTGTATACCAGGAAACCTGTGAGGTCAAGGTCAAAGCCTCAGGGTGAGCACCCGGGAGGCTCACAGGATGCTGGAAGGAAAGGGGATGCCCTGATCACAACTTGGATTTTTAATCCCCTGGACCCCACGCCCCACAACCAACCTGGATTCCTGCGAGTGTCTCTTGGCAGGCAGGGCAGCAGAGAGGCAAATAGGAGAGTTTGGTTCAACTACCCACATGGCTGATGGAGAGGACCACACCCACCATAAAGGAGTTAAAACACCAGCAGATTTGGAGAGGAAGCAAGAGAGGAGAGGGTGGGGGAAAAAAGAAACAGCAGTTTTAGTATCATTTAAGAGGAATGACACAGATTCACAGTCGGCTGTCTTTTAAAAAAGCACAAAAGTAGCTAAATCATGAGTTTGCAACAATAGTATTTTAATTTTTTAACTCAGAAAAGGGTTCCAAGATTACAGATGTTTTTCAGTGGTATCTATCTTGGGTCATGCTGAATTTATGTTTATGATTGAGCTTCACATCTTTAATGCATCAAAAGGCAATTTACATTTTGCAGATAAGAATTTGACCTGTCGCATGCATATCTGCAAGCGAGAAACACACTTTTGTGTTTCTCAGGCTTAATGTTTTAAAAGGGAATAACTAGGCAACAGATCCAGCTTCTTTGAAGGCTTTGTAAATAAGATTTCTACCCCATGTATGCATCCAAGTCATATTAATAATTCCCTTTTCAGTGCAAATCAATAGTATATCACTTCAAATCTCAGAAGTTGTAATATTACTATAAGTATGAAAAAGAATACTATCTATAGGTCTATCTATTTATTTATCCATTTATCATCATCATCATCAATTTATAAGCAAAGAGTAAAAAGGAAGCAGTGAAACAATCTTCACATCTCATTGCCCAGTAGCCATTTTGCTGTCTGAATGAAGATAACAGAGAAGAAATAAGGTAGGAAATTGTTCGAGCCATCAAAGCAGAAAATACCAGGTGTAGGAAAGGGGTGGTAGCAACAGATATGAATGAGCAACCACGGAGTCACGGAGTCACATGAGAGCTTCAATCGAAGCCACTCAGGTCTATAATTCTTCTGAAAGGTATTGCACGTTTATTCCTAGAAAGTGATCATTTATTTGTAGCATTGTAAACGTTTTTCCTTTTCAAGTTTCATTTTTTGTTTGTGACTCATATGAAACTATAGTTTATCAAAGTGTTTGATTTATATTCAGCCAATGTGCTAAATTCATTTATTAAATGAATAAATGATTTATCTGCAGATTATTTTGTATTTCTAGGTACACAATGAAATGAATTGCAAATGCTGACAGCTTTAGTTTCTTCTATATACATATACACTTTTTGTTCTTGTTATTGCTTTACTGTGGTAGCTGGAATATTCAGGAAATGTTGAATAAATACATTAATGTAAAAATCCTTAAATTTATACCACTATGTACTATGTTTGCTGTAGTATTTTTGTTTGTTTGTAGATACTGTTAACTAAATTAAGGAAGTCCTTGTCTATTTCTACTTAAAACATTTTTTATAGTACTTTTATTCTATTACTTATGATAGAATATTATATTTTATCCAGTGCCTTTCTGGATTTCTCAAGATAATCAGATGATTTTTCTCCTTTAGATTATTAATATTGTTGATCATAATAATTGATTTCATTAAGCCAGGCTTAGAGGTGTTTATCTTCTTTTATTTTCCATATGAGTTTGCATTCTATTGGAATTATCTGTTTTATTGAAACATACTGAATCATGGGCTCAACTCTCCAGTAGAACTATCTGGGAGTACAGCATTTTTTTTTTTTGAGGGAAAGTTTACAATCAAATAATCAAATCATCAAATCTTTGATTTTTTTTTTTTTTTTTGGTACCAGGGATTAAATCTAAGGACCCCTAACCATTGAGCAATATTGCCTTTGAGACTGAGTCTCACTAGGTTGCTTACAGCCTCCCTGAGTTGCTGAGGCTGGTTTCAAAACTGCCATCTTCTTGCCTTAGCCTCCAGAGCTACCAGGATAAGAGGTGTGCACCACCACCATGCCTGGCTAAATCTTTAATCCTTATACACCATTCATGGCTTCCATTTCTTCTTGGGTTATTTAGGTAAGTTATGGTTTTACTTGAAATTACCTGTTTTATTAAATATTTTTTGTAATTTTTGTCTCAGGTATCTGTAGTAATCTTCATTTTTTGTCATTCCTACAATTGTGTTTTTGTTCTATCAAATTAAATATCTCAGGGATAACTTGATTTGCTTTTCTAAGGACGAATCTTTGATTAGTTTGTCCTCTTTGGTCTATATTTACTCTCTAATTTATTAATTTCTGGCCTTATTATTATTTCTTTTTCTCACCTTCTTTAGAGTTATTTTGTTTTTTTCTAATGTTTACTGTACCATGTTTAGCCTATTTTAAAAAATGCATCCATTTATGTTTTTATCATATAGTGCTTTCATCTGGATTCTATGTTTTGAAATGTGCCAATTTTTATTACCCATAGATTATAACTATTTTATAAATTGTATTATAGATATGCAGGTACATGTACATTTGAAATTGCATTTTAATTTTTATTTATATGAAAAATTTTAATTTATGTTTACATTGATGATTTCTGGTTCAATTGCTTTGTGCTCATGTAACATGTTTTGCATGCCATTCATGTTTGGTCTTTGTATAAAATTCCTTTATAACCCAGTATAGATGGTCAATTTCTGTAAACATTGTATGCATTTGGCAGTTTGGGGTTGTATTATCCAATATATGTTTATTAAAATATATTGGTTTTGATGTTCAAATAATTCTAAATCCATATTGAATTTTTTTTCGGGGGGGATAATTTTTCTTTGTCCATTTTCACTGACTTAATTTTGAGGCAATTTTGTTGGATGAATAAAAATATTATCAATTTTGTTGGATGAATACAAATATTGTCTTATATTTAATTTTTCTTGACACCATGGGGCATTATTAATATTGTTTATACAGCCAATACTTATTTAGATTTACTAAATATTTAAAACATTTTTTACATTTTATTTTTTCCATACTGCAGACCTCACATCTGGGACTGCCTTTCTTCTGCATGGAGTAAATCTCCTATAATTTTATGTAATGAGAAGTAATGCTCTTGGTGTTTGTATGAATATGTATTTATCCTCATAAGATATTTACACTGAATATAGAATTCCAAACTGGAGATTTTTTTCCTTTGACTCATTGAAGATGCTGCTTCCTCATCCCTGGTAGCCTCTCGTTGCTTTTGTGATACCAGGAATCAGTGTGATTATTATTTTTGATGGTTTGTGTCTTTTTTTTAACCAACTGCTATTAACAATTTTCTATTATCATTGGTGGTATGATGATGTTTAGCTGGTAATTCCTTATTATCTTATCTATTCTTTAAGTATTTTAGTATGTTTGAAAATATTTTATTACCCATTTTAATCACTTTCATCAAGAGGATTGATAAATAACTTTGTTACACTACTAGAGCTAAAACTCACCAGCATTTAGAATTTACCTGAAGCTGTTTGGAAGAGTCACACACAGAAAGGACAACAGTACCAAGGCTTTGAAGGCTGAGAAAACATGGGAGGATGAGGGACATCTACCAATATTTGTGAGCAGAGAAGACCCTACTAGAAGAACAAGCTTATTGCCTGATCAGCTTTTCATAAAGAATTAGAAGTAGTTGGATTGACAAGGAATTAGACAATTATTTTGCCTAGAGATACATGGTTATGTGATCATTTTGAGCTATAGCAATGAGCAGTAGTGAAAACAACAGTAACAGTAATTACTGTACAGGTGGAGCATCCCTTACCAGAAACCTCAGCACTGGAAAAGTTCTGACTCTTAGATGTTTTCAGAGCTTGGAATAATTGCATATGCATGTTGAGATATCTTGGGAGTAGAACCCAGGTCTAAACATAAAATTCCTTTGTTTTGTATATACACAGCCCAAAGGTAGATCTTACTGCCCCCTGGCACATGCAGTCAGGTGTTGAGTTTTCTACTTGGGTGTCATTCTAGTGCTCAGAAAATATGGGATTTCAAACTATTTTGGATTAACAGGTATTTGAGTTAGGGATGCTCAACCTGTAGGTCACCCCTTAGAAATTCAATAAAACATCTTCATTTTTTAAATGTAGCTCCTAATTAAGATGACCATGAAGCTTACAGTTTTCATAGCAGACCTGATTGAAAATCATTTTATGAATATCAAAAACAAATATTTGACACAGTAGGTGTCCTGATTTTTAGTTTAAACAAATGCAGTCTTCTTATACACTTAGTGCGCAATCTGTTTCTGGAAAGCAACATGCTTCAGAGGAAGTTTATCCCGATACAATACATCAAAATGCTCAGGTATTTCCGAGTTATTGATAACCTTATTAAGTATTAATTTCATGTTAAAAATTCAATATAATAGTAGTCTATCGTTGTGTGTACAGTTTTAATTTTTCAGAAAGAGCTCAGGTGAGTGGCTTAAATTCAGACTGCAGATTGGATGTGTGCTGCCTCTCGGCCAGGTCTAAATTGCTTTCACCACAAAGCGCTTTTACCTTGATGGAGGTTGAGTAGCACAATCCAATATGTTAGAGAGGGAAGTAGAATGATCAATCTTTTCATGACCCTTCAGTCAAATTCAGTTAAAAAAAAAAAAAAGCAACTTAAAAATGATCAGGTTTTAGAATGAGATTCAGAAATAAAGGAAAGAATTAACATCTCCCTTCTCTTTTCTCACAATAATTCATTCAACTAAAAGGAAGGAAATCATTTAAATCACTAATAAGAAGACAAAATTTAAATCACCATTTCAAATCCTAAACTCTAAGCACTGAGCTTACAAAGGGAAAAGTATTCTACATTCATTTTCTACTTCATGAAAAAAAGCATGTGAGCCAAGTCAACATTTAAAATATTCTCACAAGATAACTAGGCACATTTTACAGTATTTGTCCAAGTATTTTATATCTGAAGGAAAAATTTTAGTTAAAAATAATAATAAAATTTTCATTTGGGCAGTACTTCAGGTTTTGCGATAATCAATATTACTGACAAAATTATATCTTTGTACAATTTGTAAATGAACCATTTTAAAGCCAATCACCTATTTAAAGCATTATTCAACCCACCTAAAAAACATGTTTTTAAAGATAGTATAACAACTTTTTTTCCTCTTTCTCATTTATTTA